GGAAGAGCATTAACTTTATACCTGATTTTACATTTATTAGGTGAAAAATGTATTTATTAGGAAAAGAATGAAAGACACTAAATTTTACTATGACATTAAATGCTAGCTGGAAGCTAACCTTTCCGCAGAAAGTTTCACTTTCACTCAATAAAAGGTTTTTTTTTTTAGTAAACTCCTCCTATGTGTACCACTCAAGCTGTAACAGACTAAAGGCTTCCACTTAGAGCTCAGTTCTACAGACATCCTACGTTTGGCGTACTAGGGATACCTTCTACACCATTCCTTAAATTCCTGTAAAGACCTCTCCCATTTACAGCAGCAGCTTCTGCTTAAAATTTCAACAAGGCCTCTTTCTCTGCATATTAGATTTATAAATATAGACTCTTTACTTGGCAAGACGAAAACAAATAAAAACCCAACAAATACAACACTGTATATTCCTTTGCTCCATGCTCTTCTTCTCAAGCTCGCTATAAAATACAAGTTCTGGTAGCCACATTGCTGAAGTGCTTTAAAGTTTAAATATAAATTTGTCATATTCCTCAACCACTGAGGTTCAAGGAAGAACATTTGCTGGATTTACAAAACCCAGTAAATGATTTGTTTTTCTAAATTGGAACATATCTATTGGAAAAATATACTGAAGTCTTCCAATTTCAATCGTTCATTTACTTGCAGGCACACTATTAAATAAAACAACTTTGCAAAGGCTTTTCATTTCCAATGTGTAAGAGAAGTATTCCAATTAATCCACTGCCCTGATGTATTTGCAGAAGCACATGGTTTGCAGACACAAACATCTAAAAAGGATAGATTCAATTTACCCTTCTGGAAATACAGTTTTAGGATAAACTATGGAACAAGTATATAGGGGAAAACTACAACGTCAGTTTCTAAGCCCTATAAATGCTCTAATAGCATGTAAGCTCTTTTTCCTGATTCCCTGTCTTGAAGAGACATCTTTCAAATACGGAGAGAGGAAGTAGGCTGGAGAATTACCAAGCTAATTCATTTATACTACCTTCCTGTAGAGACCAGTTGTTTTGTCACACTATCACTCTCGTTCTGTTTCCTACAACAATTACCTAATTTAATACCCAAGAGGGTTTTACATCTGTCATGCTACAGTACAGTGATTTCTGTTGCTGTTTTAAGAGAGAACACTATCTGGTGCTATTGTTCAATGTTTTAGTACACATATCACAGCACAGGGATGATTGTAAACAAAACCACAAATAAATGACTATGCGAATCAAAGTCAGAGTATGAAATATTTGTGTGTTTTGCAAATTAGAAATAGTTTAATTCAGTAACAAATAACTTATGTAGACAGTGTCTGTAAGGACTGACAAAATTTCAGCTGTGTTTTCCTCTCATTATTAACATCCGGCCACACATCAAATATTAGCTGATTAGTTCTTCATTATTCACTTTGCTATTTTCCAAATACATTTTTGAGTAAAAATTCCACGTAGCTTAATTTCAAACTAGTGTGAACATATAATTTTCTTTACCAATACTCATAACTGTACAATTTGGAATTTTAAAAATAAGTGAAAAATAACCACTGGATCATTACAAATGAAACAAACATACAAATCTATGCAATGCATTAGTGCACATTTTAAAAATGGTTGTTTTTGAATGTCAACAAAATTAATAGGTCTGCAGATGAATATAGTCTCATTTTGTCAAGCTTTGGCCACTGTCTCTGATATGTTTCATGTTTTAGCTGAATTCCAGATTATAAATGAAAGACTTATATTAAAAAGTCAAAGTGGCAAAGTGAGGAGAAGGATCATTTTTTAAGAAGTCTGTTAATGCTATGCTCCGCAGAGAAATATATGAAATTATCCCAATTCGATCCTTGTTGGACCCATGCTTTTCAATGGAAAATACTTAACCTCCTTTCACCTCTTCCACACATTTAGTTTTCGTAAGATTTCTGAGAAGGCTAAGGAAAACCAAAACAAGAGGATTACAAATGACAAATTATTAAGATTTGTTTCTGTCTGTTTCGGAGTAATGTTTCTCACAGATGAGAAAAAATGACTGATTTTCCTTTGAATGCTTTGTTTCAAGGCACAGTGCTGACAGTTTGTGATTTTATCCCTCATACTGTATGCATACATTTATATTAATTTAAGAGGTCATTTCTAGCAGCTAAGAGTCTGTAAATGCAAACTGCAATGGAACAAAGCAAAAAGGCACCTAGAAAGAATTCAAACTTTACTTCTAAAATCTTTTTTAAACTCAGATGATTTTGTGAACTACTGTTCATGAACCTTAACTTTTTGGTTGCCAAAACTATAATTAGCAGCAGCTGCAAAAAACATTGTAGTTATGACTGCCGGAAAGTCCCTAAAAAGTCATGTCCAGGGTTCAGCCATTTGACTTCTATCCCAAACGGTAGTGGTCCAGATGGGGCACTGAGACACAACATATATAGGACACCTAACAGCACCGACTATGTAATTGTCCAGTGATCTGCTGAGTGTTACAACAGATGGTATCAGCCTCTTTGATAGAGGCTCTCCTCCAAGACTGATGATAATGATATATTAATTCCTTTGGGGGCCTTGCTAACTGGAATGAAGGATGCAAGCAGTTTTCAGGCTTTTTTCTTTTCTTTTTTTCAACTTTAATGAGGTCTTGAGGCATGGCATTTGTGCAGCTGTGCAGCTCATTTGTGCAGCTCTTTTTGCACATCCAGTATTCTGCAAGACCTGCTCTGTGAGAGTATGCCACACACAAAAATTACAGGATTGGGTTAAAAAATACAGAGTTTTCAATTATATTGTTTTCTAATAACAACAATATTTTGTTAGTCATCCCAAAACAGAGGTATTTAGAGTGTCAGCTATAAAAATAAAATCCCAGTAGAATACAATTTTAGTACCCAATAATTTTACATTGCTGTGAATGTTAATGTTCACTTCAGTAAAAAAGATATACTTAACAAAAAAGGCTAATTCACAAAACACTGGATTTCTTTATTTCCACCTCAATTGAAGTTCTGTAACCTCCATAGAAGAGATAAAGGAATGAACAGATCAAACTAATAGTGGCAAATTGCCAGGACCAAATGATACCCAGTCAAGAGCTGGATGATACAGGTGAACTGCTAACTGGGGTGTGTTCTCTCTCACTTAAGATTGTCTTAGTACTTGAAGCGGTAAGCTGCAAATGTGGCACCAATATTTAAGAAGGATTTCAGCAAAGATGCAGGCAATTATTGATCTGTAAACTTGATGTCCCCCGTAGCAAATTAATAGAAACTATAATAAAAGCAGAATCAGGGATCATGTGGATAAGTACGGTAGACTAGGGAAGAGTCGAAGTGGCCTCCATAAAGAGGAGTTTTGGCTCACAAAGCTATTGCAGGTCTTTGAGGGGATTATCGAGGTTGCAAACGAGGGATATTGGTTTATATAATCACTTGGATTTGTTAAAGTCCTTAAACGAGACAAACAGCCACAGGATAAGAAGGAATATCCTTGCATGAATAAAGAACTGGCTCAAAGATGAAAATAGAGGGTAATTGTTCACTTCACACAGTGAAAAGAGGCCATCAGCAGAGGTCTGCAGAGAGTTGCGCCAGGCCTGCGTAGCACCACAGGCATCTGGTAATGGCAACGGGCAGTGAAGTGACAAAGTTTGTTGATGGTATTCTGTTACTCAGGACAATAGGATCTTTCCATCTAGGAAGACTTGCAAGAAGGTCCTTAAAAGATTCAGTGACTGGTCAATAATATTACAACTGAAGCATAACACAGAAACCTGAAGGACTTTGAGTAAGATCCTGGAATTAAGATAGATAGCTCCATGAAAACATGCTCGATGGTCAGTTTAGCTGTCAAAGTAAAACAAACGTTAAGTATCATTTAGGAAAGGAACAGAGCACAAAGCTGTGTATATCATCTAAGTTTTTTCATAAATGCACAAATAGATTTTGTCCTGCTTGAATACTATTTCTACTTCTTGCCCTCAAAAGAATAGAGTAGAATGAGAATGATTCAGAGAAGGCTAAATATGGATGCTAGATGTTTTCATAGTTTCAAAGGCAGAATAGATAAGTTCGCAAAAGACAAGTACTAAAATAAATGTAGAAAATTATTAAAAATAAAAACATCTTCACTCTGACATACCACAGAAGAATCTGAATTTTATTTTTCATTTTTGGTGGAAGAATTGGTGCAAATTTGAGCTCCAGAAAGAATAGCATAGCTCTGACAAAATAATTTTTAACTAGAAATTCAATGAAATCAATATTAATGATGACATAAAATCACATAATTCTAAAGATTTGGTAAATTGTTTTGTCCCTCGTACCGCTTTAATTACCTTGCTCTGCTGGAAACGCTGCCTGCTAAATACAATGATTTTTCATATTTCAAATTCAGACTCATTTCTAGTTGACTGACGGCATATACAAATCTAAATATGTCAAGTGTAATGTTTCGCTGTGGCAAAATAAAGTCTAGATTGAAACAATATACCTTAATGTAGATATAATAATTTTCAACTTCCCAGGAGCCAAGACTCAGATGACTAGCTGCAGTTTAGGGATGTCTTATTACAGGAAAAATAAGTCTGGTGAATTGTATGATTTAATAAGGAACACTGAAGAAGATAATACCTCTGGAAATTTTTCCCAGTGACTTCTGTGTGTCTTAAATCAGATCCCAAATACTTACGAAAATTTGTTACGCCTTAATTTTGATGTTGTAAAGGTGATGATTGGACACACATTTTTCTCAGCAGATTTGCCTGCATGTTCTTATTTGAAAATGAACACTTATTTCTGGCAAATCAGATGTGCAAAATTCTTTATCAGCATTCATAATACCTGTTTTCCACATACTTTGTCTAAAAATGCTTTTTTTTCCCCCTCCCAAAAAAATCCCATTAGTTTTAATCTCGAACCACAATCTGTGATCAGCCCCTACCATCAAATAAAATCATTTATCCAGTATTAAAATTAACAACATAAGACCTACCTTCTCCGCTAACAACTCTCTGATCTTGCTTGCCTGGAGACGAAACTTCATTAACTGTGACTCCAGAGTTAAACATCTTTCCTTCCAGTTTATAGTACCTTCTGGCTCTGAAAGATCAGCCATATTTATTCTGGAAAAAGAAAGGGGTAGGAAAAAAACACCTTGAACTGAGTTTGTATTTAATATATCTGGCATTCTTTTAGTATATACACTAACCTATTTCATAAAAATCTCAGGAAAACCCCAAACTTCTGTAAATAGGTAGCTTCAAAACATTGAATGAAAATTACGTTAGCCTACAAAGGCCCTTAACATAAAGAGGAGATTCCTGAAATCTGTGTTAATAATATTTGGGTTTACGCTATAATAATATTTGGGTTTACCCTAATCTAATTTAAATTATTTCAGAGCTGCAAAATGTTTTCCTTGATAAGCAGAGAAACATCACACATTTTACTCTTTGGTTACTGTTCTTTAATGCATAGAAGAGGCTTGTAGAGAACTGAGCTTTTGCTAGAAAATGCCACATATAGGTGTCAACTACATATGAGTTTTAGTTTTATGTAAGTTTAGCATTTGACAGAAAATTTTTTAAGTTTTAAAATTCTTAAGCTTATTCAGGTTTTCTTGAAAATTTATTACCCCTAATAAGATGCAAGGGGGCGCTTATGGTACCAAAGATAAAGTCAGGTGAGTGAAGGGCCCCTAACGGGTCCTTGCAGGAAAAACAATCCTTTATAGTAACTGTTGCAGACATTGGAATATTTTCGCTCACATTTGGGGTTGAAATTCATGTTTTTATCTCCATTTAAGTGGTCACGCTTTCCTGGAATTAAGCTCAGTGCCATTCCGGACAAGCACGGCTGGAAAAATTGTTCAGGATGAGAGCTGGCTTTACATTGAGGGCTGAGTCAACGTGAGAAGCCAAGAAAATCATCTGTATATAAGTAGAAGGACTGCAGTCTGCTGTAGTCCAAAGTATTTGTAGACAGCTTGATAGAGAGTAAGCAGATGGCTGCATGGAGCCATTCGGTCCAAGTAGTTTCCTTATGAGTGAAGGCCCTGGCCTTTGCAAGAGTCTGAATATGCAGGACTGGCTTGGAAAATAAAGCTCAAGTTCCCTGTAAGCATCCAACTTACCTCAGAAGTAAAAAAATCAGAAATAAAAACACCATTCTGTTGAAGGCAGTTGAAAGATCATAGCAAACAAAAACGTCAGGCATGTCATTGCACTGCACACGTGTCACTTCTGTCATGGGGCAATGAGACTGGACAAAGAAGAGCCAGTTGCCACTCGTTTCAGTGTGACGGGAGAGACTGGCACAGGAGACTGACTCATCTATAGCACAGGTCCCTGCACCCTATCTCCCGGCAGTTAGCAGAGCTACATTAACAAGTGACATCCTTCAAGCGCTCCTCCCCATGACACAAAAGCATGGCTCCCAGCTTCCCTTCCTCCCACCGTCAGAGGAAGAAACCCCAGCTCCCTCTCTCCCCGAGCTCGCATCCGCGGCAGGGCAAGAAACTGTTTTGATGCCAGGAGGAAAAAAGGAAAGGACAAAGCATTGCAAGAGAAAGCAAAGCTGTGAGAAGGATTCCAAAAAATCCTTAACTTTTTTCTGATACATGAAATAATATTTTTCAGTTGTCTTCTGAATTGTGAATGTCCTAGATTACTCTGAAGTTTATCATGGCTAAGCAGGTGAAAAATTCTCAACATCTCAGAGCTTTTCTTCCCTCTCCCATACCCTAATTTCCTTGTGCCTGTCATTCCTTACTTATATGTGCAGTCAAAAGGACAAAGAGGAATGGAAAACTGACCAAACTTAAGTTTTTCACCATTGTCATTTGGCTGAAGGTAACTGCTCCACTCCTAACTCTCTGTTTCTCTCGGTCTTGCATGCTATGATTCAAGCTGTTAAGCACGAGCTTATAACCATCCCTATTCGGGAATCTCAACTCAGGAGCTCAGGATTCAATCCCCATGGCGTTAATGGGATTTAAGGACGTTATTAAAATAGTTTCCTAAGCTGATCTTGCTACACCCAAATTCTAAGCTTTAAGCACACGAGTACTTCTTCGATTGCAAGCCTCCTTGAGGATCAGCATCTTATACCGTTTCCCCCTTGCCTTAAGCCAGCCAAGAAAATTCCCTGGACTCTCAGGAAAGCAGATTTCTCACCTTTGTCCTGTCCCCTCCCCTCGGTCCCTTCTCCTCCTGCAGAGCCCCCGCGTATGGTGGCGCTTCCAAGCGGCAGGGTCTTCTACTTTACAAAGGAAGGAGAAGTTTCAACTGTGGATTGATTTGGGCAGAGAGTCTGGATTCTGGTCTCCTAGGGAATGAGGAACGACAATTTCGTTTTTAGACTTTGTTCATTTAGGAATTTTTATAATATTTTCCCTTTTCAACTGATGGCAGCCACATAAGACAGACATGAACTCAGCCAACGCCTGGTTAACAGTAGGATATTCCAGTGTTTGTGGCAGTGAAAACACAAATGGATAAAATAATGAAAGAATTTTTGTTTTCCTGTGCTGCATAACACTACTGAGTGGAGTTACAAATGTTTCTGTTTCGACAGACAAAACATTTGAGTAGATAGATTTCTGACAGTGAACAATGCGTTCAGCCAAGTGGAGTTTCTCAATGTCCAAGCTAATTAATATTCCACTGTATAAACATTGCAGATAGAAAGTTTGAAAATAACTCCTTTTATTGTGGGTTGTTTGTTAGAGATTATAATAATTTACTTCATATTTTCCAAAAAGCCAATGGGTTCTGGAAATATTTACAGGCACATAATACGCTGTTTACAATTGTGGAGTGAGTGATCTTACTTTGAATCAATGACTTCCTGTTTCTCGTTTGATTCCTCAAGGGAGGAAAAATATGAGTTCACTTCTTCTGGCTTAAGAGAGCACTCTGAATCAGCACTCTAACCTACACAAAGTCCTCCCCTTCTTCCTGCTCCAGTTCCCACTCCAAAAACCCTCTTTTCTGATTTTTTTTAAATAACATCTTTTGAAAAGTAAAAAGTAAAGTAAAAGTAAAAATAAAAAGCACACATTAAAGTGGTAAGTTCTAATTATGTCATCACAAATTAATTGAGACAAGTTTGACAAGTCTGGATAGATTAAGCTCTTCTTTTTCATTTTTTAAGTTTAGAAACCTCTTCAGAGGAGTCAAGAAGTCAGAATGTCACATTCCCCCCAAAGAGACTGAAATAATTTCCTATTCTTTGCTGCTGTCGTGGAAATTATCAAAATACTTTCCAGGGGGAAGGAGGGAACGGTGTTTTGGTTTTTGGAAGCGTGCTAAGAAATTTACATAGTCCTTATCACACTGTCAGTGTTTTCCTCTGCTTTTAACAAAATGCAGTGTTTAACTAAATATGTTCTACTCCACGTTCTGCGTGGCCTTTCTCTGCCGGGGACAGTTGGACAAATCCTTCTGTTTCATTAGGAATGGGTTGGCAAAGCAGCATTTGTTGGGTTCCCTATAGCAAACAGCACCATCCTAAGACGTTACGGCCCCAAGGCGTTTGGGCCATGCCTCCCAGATTTCCGGCTCCTTACTTCCACCCCTTTCACCCAAACTCAGCACTTTCAAATTATTTTGGAACCATAAAGGTCACCTGGGAGAAAGGAAAGGATGAGACACAAAGTAGTGCTGTTTGGGAATCAAGGAAGCCCTTTTCAGGGCTGTCACTGGCCAGGGCCCTGAGTCATGAAGAAACACTGGTAACTTTATTTTCCATTTGACTAATTCTGCGTGATTCTGGGCTCACACAAGCTATAGCCTAAGATATTTAAAACTTCCCTCAAAATCTGATTTACAAAAGTTGTTTGTTTTTTTTTTTTTTTTGCTGCTTCCTAGCTATCGATAAGGTCATTGCCCCGAAGAAAGAAGGCGGTGGCGGCCGCGTCGCCACCTCGCTGCCTGCGCAGCCGACGCGCGCAGCACCGTGTTACGCCCCTGGTCCAGTGACAGTCATTTCAAAGGCTTAAAGCAACACCTCGCTGCGTACAAACGCTTCTACGAGGCCCTGAAGGCTGAAGGCCAGGATATTTTTTGAAAGGTACAAAGTTCGACTACATTTTTGTTTGGAAGTCGTATTTTCCGTCCCCTTTGGGGCGGCAAAGGAACCACGTGCCGGACGAGGGGCGGCCGGGCCGCGGCCAGCCGGATAGCTGGTCGGTCTGCCGCCACGGGGC